GAAGCCGCCGTTTGTTTAAGGAGATACCTCCAGGGAGCGAGGGGCGGGGGTGGGATCTGAGGCGCGGAGCTGGAGGCACTCCTCCGTGGGGGTACCGGGGTCGTCTCTGCAGGGAGGGGCCGGGGGCTCATCTTCACGGCCACCGATGTGCTCCCACGTGCGGGGTGGGGCTGGGGCCGCTGCCTTGGGATCTCGCACGCAGCAAGGCTTCCCTCCCACCGCCTGCAGCTCTCAGACCTGCACCCCCGCTGTCCCCCCGGCCTCCGCCAGCGCCCACCCCCGTCCGGAGCAGAGGAACCGGCATCGGAGCGCTGGGACCGCCCGGGGGGCGGAGCTCGCCCTCTGGCCAGGAGGTGGGAAAGTGACGACCCGCGGGGTCCGAGGCGCAGACCGCCCCTCCAGGCTCCTGCCGCGGTCCCTCCTGCCCGGGGCTGTCGCAGCAGCAGCTCACACCAAGAATTAGCCCTTGCTCCTCCGCCAGCAAGACTTGCAAACTCTCCTGCCCCTCCTCTCCCGTCGGGAGCTCTTTCCCTCCACGTGTCCCCCTCCCCCGCCTCCCCCGCCCTCCTCACTTCGGAGAACTGAATGCTTCTTTTAGCACCTTTTTTCCCCCTGTGATCCAGGGGACGTGACACCCCAGAGCGCCAACGACCTCCGCTGAATTCTATCTTTGTCTTTATTGCTCCCTCACTGCCTCGTGCGTCCCTCTCGCCTGATTGATGTGCGAAGGCTGATGCTTCTGCCAGAGGGAGAGGAATAAATAGAGGCTGCTGCCCCCGAAGGCTTAGTCGTGGGGAGAGAGCGGCGGGGGCGGCGGCGGGAGCTCGGCAAAGCTCGTGGGACCCCATTGGGGGAATTTGATCCGAGGAAGCCGTGAGATTGCCGGGGGAGGAGAAGCTTCCAGACCCTGGTGTCCGTTTCCAGGGAGGAGGAGCCGGCGGAGCGCGCCTCTGGGCGTCCACGGAGCGGCGCACCCTGCCGCGTCCTGCCGGGATCATGGCTTGCGGCCGTCTGGGAGCAATGCTGCTGCTGCGGGCCGGCATCGTGGCTCTGACCGCGCTCTGCCTGCTCCGCGTGCCGGCAGCCCGGGCTGCAGCCTGTGAGCCCGTCCGCATCCCCCTGTGCAAGTCCCTGCCCTGGAACATGACCAAGATGCCCAACCACCTGCACCACAGCACCCAGGCCAACGCCATCCTGGCCATAGAGCAGTTCGAGGGTCTGCTGGGTACCCACTGCAGCCCGGATCTGCTCTTCTTCCTCTGCGCCATGTACGCGCCCATCTGCACCATCGACTTCCAGCACGAGCCCATCAAGCCCTGCAAGTCCGTGTGCGAGCGCGCCCGGCAGGGCTGCGAGCCCATCCTCATCAAGTACCGCCACTCGTGGCCCGAGAGCCTGGCCTGCGAGGAGCTGCCTGTGTACGACCGGGGCGTGTGTATCTCTCCTGAGGCCATCGTCACCGCGGATGGAGCGGGTGAGTGTGGACGCGGCCCACCCGCCCAGTGCCCTCCAGCCCCTGGCTTCTGGGAATCCTCTCACTCGCCTTTGCTCTCTGAGACTTCCTTTGGGAACACGCGTCTCAGTCTCTCCCGTAATCACTTTTCTGTGGAGCACCAGGCCTTTTGTTTTTGTAATCGCCCCTGGTCACCCCTCCAGACAGATGCACCCTATTCCAGTAGGTGACCTTTCTAAAACCCTCCATCCTTTCCACTCCCGGCACGCTTCTACTCCACGCTGATGCTTCGCTCTCTTTAGTGTGGAAGTGGCCACATTGTGTAGACCGATGCTCTCTCTTTACTTTTTAAAGTTTGTTTATAATCATTGGGTTTTCTGGCTTGGTTCTCCTGCAGTTTCACTTATCAGCTTTCTATATCTTTAGTGTTTTAGCTGTTTGTTAAGATTGTAAGGAGAAAACCATTTTCTTCTATCATTAAAAATGCCAAGATAATGTCAGTAACCTTACTCCAGCCCACGGATGTGAGGGGTATGTGTTTGCTCAAAATTCAGTTGGAGCAATTACCTTCACCTTGAATCTCCCCCTCCTTTCAATGAGAGAGATTGTTCTACTCCAGAATGAAACAGCTGTGAAGCATTTCTATGCACTGCTAATTAGCTCCTGTGGCTGCTCCAGCCATCTAGCTGGTGGGCTGAAATTTCTGAGTCCTTTTCACATGCCCACGTGCCTTCAAGTCACTTTGTAACTGGCATATGGATGAGAGGAGTGTTGTTTAAGGTGTATTATCATCATACACTCTTGTTTGTTTTCTAAATCTCACCCCTTATGCCATTCTCGTACTCTGCAATAATCTGTCCTTAATTACCTTATTTTATGTCCCTTTTCTGTGTGTACGTCAACCACATATCCGTTTCAATCTTTCCCTACCACAAAACTTTACTGCAATTCTACATTTAGTGGAATCAACCAGAAGTTGTTTTCTCAGTAGTGTTTAGTCTAATTATGACATTCACAACTCTAAGACCCCCAACTAAACCTAGTTCACTGTGGCCCATCTAATTCTGATTCAATCATTCCCACCAACAGACCCAAACCTTAAATTTTACCTTTCATATATAGGGGACCCATACAAAACCAGAATTATCTTTTGGAGGGCCCACACTAAAGAGAGGGCCTCTTGTAGTACAATTGGAATTTGTTCCTCCAGATCAAACGGTCAACCGACGTTTTTATCTGGAAGTTTTCAGAAGGTTGCATCATGATTTGTGGAAGAAACGTTCTGTGTTGTGGCAAACAGGTGACTGGTTCTTCCCCCGTGACAATGCACCTGCTCATACCATGCTGAATGTTTAGCAGTTTTTGACCAAAAAGAGCATCTCTCCTGTGTCCTACCTTCCCTATTCACCCAGTCTCACCCTGAGCGACTTTTTTTTGTTTCCCGGGATGAAAAAAATCCTAAAAGGGAAACATTTTGCCAACATAGAAGAGGTAAAACAAAAAATTACAAAAACACTAAACGGCATCAAAATTGATAAGTTCAAAGACTGTTCTGAGCAGTGGAAAAAGTGTCTCAATAGGTATACTGCATCAAACAGTACTCTGAAGCTGACTGACGTTTACACATGTAAGCATAAATACACAATATTTTATAAATAAATTCTGAGTTTTTGGGGGGTCCCCCTTGTACTCTAAAAATAAGGCACTGTTTTTTTTCTTTTTGAGTTGGAGTCTCACTCTGTCGCCCAGACTGGAGTGCAGTGGCCGCTCCCGGCCACCGCCACCGCAGCCTCGACCCGCTGGGCTCCGGCAATCCTTCCGCCTCAGCCTTCTGAGTAGCTGGAACTACAGGCGCGCGCTACCACGCCAGGCAATTTTTTGATTTATTGTAGAGATGAGGTCTCGCCAAGTTGCCCAGGCGGGTCTCGAACCTGCGGGCTCAGGCCATCCACTCACCTCAGCCTCCCAGAGCTCAGGATTACAGGCAGAGCCACCGAGCCCGGCTTACTTTTTTTTTTTTTTTAACTAGTGGTCCTTTTTCATGCCCTCCTGATCTCAGCTCTATTCTTGGATATATTGATGACTTGGTTGCCTCCATTGCTAGACATCAACCATCCTTCCTCTTTCATCTTGCCCACCTAGGCACATGTCCTCAGTACATTTCTTGGAATGATTTCTAATTATTAGGAAGTATTTCAGAAAAATTGCTTTCTGTGCACCTTGACTCCATTACCACAAAGAAAGGGAGAAGGGAAAAGTGGTTGTACAAACAGCTGAAAAACCAAAAAGATTTCAAGAAGTTTTTTATGGTCTCCTCTTTTCGTTTGCCACTTTTTGAATATGACTCCTGTCTTTTTTATTGGAATCAGGGACCAAGACCTGATTGTGTATCAGAGGAAAATGCATTCCTCATTAATCTTTGCTAAAAGATCACTCCGGCCTTTGCACTCACTCAAAGCCACAGGCCCTGCAGACTCTGGAAGAACTCAGTGCAGTTGCTGCTCCAGTTTGCCAGGCACTTAGAACCAGTTAAATTCTGGCACTCCTCTCAGGCCATGGGCTAGGAATGAGGTGGCCATGGTTCAAGCTGAAATGCCTTCTTCCCTGTAAAGAACAAAACTTGCTCTTAAACCTCTCTTAGAGATGAACCTCTAATGAGCGAGGTTTGGCAAGGTTGATGGCTCTCAAAAAGCCATCATCAGTATGGATGGGAAGCAGTTTCATTAAGTGTCCCTGAGTTACCAAACACTGAACCAAACGTGGAACAATTGCCTCATTGAAGTGCTCAAATAGGACGTGCATAGAAACAATGGGTCAGTTCGTGAGACCTGATTTTTGAGCTTTAAAATGTCATAATAGGCCAGGCGCGGTGGCTCATGTCTGTAATCCCAGCACTTTGGGAGGTAAAGACAAGGATTGCTTGAGCCCAGGAGTTCGAGACTAGTCTAGGCAACATAGTGAGACCTTGTCTCTGCAAAAAAAAATACAAAAATTAGTTGGGGGTGGTGGCGCCATCCCAGCTACTTCAGAGGTGAGGCAGAATGATTGCCTGAGCCCAGGAGGTTGAGGTTGTGGTGGCACTGAACTGCAGCCTGGGTGACAGAGTAAGACCCCAACTCAAAAAGTAAAATGAAATGCCATAATATTTGCTCTACTGACAGCATCCTTGCTGAAAAACAAGTATGGGTGGGTGGGAGTTGAAGTCATATTGTGGTGTTGGTTTCCCTGCCCTAACCATAACCCCTGTGAACCCGAGATTGCAGTGCGGGAGGGGCCTGAGGGGGAGGTGCAAATGGGGGGGTGGGGTGGAAGGATGGGTTCTACCTCAAAGGGTGCCCCGGCTTCCAGCACCAGCCTGTTGAAAATTACATTCCCTATGCTGGGTCAAACTGTCAGACACCTGGAATTACTTAGGAATTGTTGCATGTGACCAGTGATATTTACGACATATATCCAATAAACTTCTTAGTTCAGTGGCATGTGATAGTTCACAAAGCAGTGTTTTTTCCCTTCCTTTAGATATAGACAGAGTCCCTGCGTCTTATTGCTAGTGTCTATCCAGTCAGATATAAAAATGAGGTCTCCCTTAATAAAATGAGAATCTTTCACATTCCTTTAACACCAAGAAGATTTTCAAATCCTACCATTCACGGGATCTGTTCTCTTAGAGTGTATCATGACTTCACAAACAAGCTTAGGACATTTTACAAAGCAAAGTCTTGTTGAAATGGGATGCCTCAAACTATCTTTTGGTTTCAAAATACTAAGGGTCAGCATACTTTTATAAGGAACAGGTTATAGGATGACTATTACTAATGAATTCATATTACATTTATTCTTACATTTTCTATATTTGAGTGTGGCTACATGTGCAACTGCTTTATCTGAAAACTTAGTTCAATTTAGTCATTCAGAAGGTTAATTGTGACATTTAGTCAAATCTTTAATATTCATGGTACAGTAGAGAAGATGGGCTTGGGGTCAGGTGTACCAGGTGTTGATTCTTGACTCTGCCCCGTATCAACTGTTGCTGTAGAAAAATATGTAACCTAACCGGGCTTGGTGGCTCAGCCTGGAATCCTGCGCCTTTGGGAGGCTGAGGTGAGTGGATTACCTGAGCCCACGGGTTCGAGACCCGCCTGGGCAGCGAGACCTCATCTCTACAATAAAAAAAAAAAAAAAAAAAATCAGCTGGGCGTGGTAGCACGCGCCTGTAATTCCAGCTACTGGGAAGGCTGAGGCGGAAGGATCGCCGGAGCCCAGGAGGTCGAGGCTGCGGTGGCTGGGAGCGGCCACTGCACTCCAGTCTGGGTGACAGAATGAGACTCCAACTCAAAAAAAGAAAAAGAAAAATATGTAACCTTTCTAATTCAAAGTTTTCCTATCTGTAAAATGGGGACAATACTGCCTACATCCAAAGAGCATGGTGAAGATGGACTTAAATAGCCTAAGAAGCATTGAGTTTAGAACAGTACCAGATACACAGTCAGGCCTACACAAATTGCTTCTACTGTTGCTGTTTTACTATTATTGTCAATGTTGTATCAAATTGAATGATACTTTCTTTTTTTTGTTTGTTTTTTGAAATGGTTATGTTGGTAAATTCAGATACAGACCAGAACTTTTATCAGTTCATCTCTGGGAAACAAGCTTTACCCTGGGACCTAACTAGAAAAGCAGATCTTAGCTCTTCCGAATATATAAAGTTGATATTTCTTTTTATACAAATCCACCTGGATCTCAGGCTCAAGAGCAAATCCCTTTGGGAGTGACTGAGAAGAGAATAAGTCTGGTGGATGCTAGTTAATTGTACGTAGTTTATCTTAGAAGCTCAGAAATCAAGCAGTTAAGAACATTTATGATATATTTCACAGCTGTTTCTACAGCACCTCCATTCTGCTGTGCCAAGGGTTTTATAATCACCCCTCAGTCAGTGCTGGTTTCTGTGGTAGTGCTGACTTGTCTTCTCAGCTCTTGCTCAACACGCTTCTGCAGGCCTTCTCTCTCCTGGCAGAGCTGCGCCAACTTTCAGATGCAGGAACGGCTGTTTAATCATTTCTCCACTCTCAGAGGAACAGGCAGCCTTTTCTTTTGCCCTGGTCTACAAATATTTGAGGGGCCAAATACCAAGAAGGAAGAAGAATTATTTAGTGTGATAGCAGAAGAAGGGAACGGAAAGGAGAAATGGAAATTTTATATTAGGACTAGAGGAAAAACATGATTCTAAGGATGCTTCATCATGAAAAATATTGAAGGACACTCTGAGTGGGGTATGGAAGAGTATCTCAGTGTTATGGCATTTAATTTTATTTAGAGCTAACCCAATGATCAGTGGTAACAGAATCTTATGTAGTCACCAAATCTTATTTTAATAATTTACTTTTTAATCTCATTCCCTCCAAACCTTCAATTAGTTGTTGCTACAAATAGCAAAACTGACTAGGTTATATTTGTCCTTTCTCTTCTACTTGGTGTCTAGAAAGAAGAGACCAAGAGCTATCAGAGATAGTTTTGAATAATTAAGGATTGGTTACGTTTCCTCAATTTAGAGACAACCACAGTTTTACAGTTACAGGCCCTTAGTTGAAATTCTTGATTTGCCGTTAATTGTCTACATCGAACAAATCACTTGCCATTGCCATTGACTGGAGATTGTGAAGAACAAAAGAAATATTCATGCGGAGTGATTGATAAATGATAAGGCACAATGTAACTATTTAATATCTTTGGGGAGAGGATGTGCCATCCTCAGGACAGGGATCATTAGTAGCAACAGAGTAAAAGCTAACATGCTCTTAACATGTAACGCGCTCTAGGTGCTGTCTTAAGTGCATTATGCCTATTCACATAACTCTCATAACAAACATGGTATATTCAGTTATTCCTATTTTGCAGAACAGGAAACTGAGGCATATAGAGAAGGTAAGTGACTTGTCCAAGTTAATACAGCTGGTAAGACAAAGAGGATTCAAACCAGACCTGTTCTACACTGCATTTCCTCTTGTATTAAGAAATATCAGCCGGGATTGGTGGCTCAGCCTGTAATCCCGCGCCTTTGGGAGGCTGAGGTGAGTGGATTGCCTAAGCCAGGGGGTTCGAGACGCACCTGGGCAGCGAGACCTCATCTCTACAGTAAATCAAAAAATCAGCTGGGCGTGGTAGCGCATGCCTGTAATTCCAGCTACTTGGAAGGCTGAGGCGGAAGGGTCGCTGGAGCCCCAGCAGGTCGAGGCTGCAGTGGCGGGAAACGGCCACTGCACTCCAGTCTGGGCAACAGAGTGAAACACCAACTCAAAAAAAAGAAATATCAGCCAGGCTCGGTGACTCAGCCTGCAATCCCGTGCTTTGGGAGGCTGAGGTGAGTGGATTGCCTGAGCCCGCGGGTTCGAGACCCACCTGGGCAACTTGGCGAGACCTCATCTCTACAATAAATCAAAAAATCAGCCAGGCGTGGTAGCGCATGCCTCTAATTCCAGTTACTCGGAAGGCTGAGGCGGAAGGATCGCCAGAGCCCAGCAGGTCGAGGCTGCGATGGTCGGGAGCGGCCACTGCACTCCAGTCTGGACGACAGAGTGAGACTCCAACTCAGAAAAAAAAAAAAGAAAAAAAGAAAAAAAAAAAAGAAATATCATTGCTAACTTGCTAGAGCATCTATCTTTTGCCCATCAGCTTGCAAGAGCAAGGTTTTTTTCCATTGTATTTTGAAAGCCCATTTATAAATGGCTCAAGAGAATGAAAGGTGGCTCTAGACAGTGGATTCCAAGAGATAAGAGATAAGTACTTCACTGTACTTTTGAGATAGCAGAGAGTATATATTCCAGATTCTCATGTCAAACCCTTAGCCCCTGAGTCTTAGCATGCTTCAGAGTGAACCCAGGGCACCACTGTATCCTCGTTGTCCAAGCTGGGAGTCAACCTTGGTTCTGCCCTTTTTCTCCTCCCCCGCATTCAGTAGTATCAAATGCTGTTGGATCTGCTTTGACTTAAATTCCCTCCCTTCCCTCTGGAATGCCATTTTCCTAGTTTGGACCTCACCATCTCTCACATGGATATGGTCATAGGATGAGTGTTGGCTTCCTTACCTCCAGTATTTCCGCTCCATATTCCAGTAGTATGATTTTCCTGAAATGCAAATCCCTTGCTTACAATCCTTTGGCATCTGCCGTTGCCCTCGGGATCCCACTCCTCCCTTCCTCTCGCTTCATTTCTCTTTGCGCACACTGCTCTCTATTTCAGTCACACGTGCAGGTCTCTTGCCCCAGTACCTTTGCAATATTTTTCTTTATCTGAAAAAACCCTCTTCCCTTTCCTAGCTCCTTTAGGATTATTCTGGAAACCTCTGTGACCTCCACCAGAAATCCTGGGACATAAAACCCACTATTGTAATTAAGGATAATTTTGGTTGGTAGAATGTCTAAGTTGACCTTTCTGAAAATATTTTTTAATTAATTACATTCAGAAAATTTTGATTTTTCTCTGAGCATTTTGAAAAGTGTAGAAACATTTTTCTATGAATAAGAAGGAAAACATTCTTCTTGGCCTAGCTGTTTCAAAGGTGTTTTCTTTATCTAAGAGGGGAGTTTTCTTTTTCTTTTTCTTTTTTTTTTTTTCGTTTTTGAGTTGGAGTCTCACTCTGTCGCTCAGAATGGAGTGCAGTGGCCGCTCCCAGCCCCCGCAGCCTCGACCTGCTGGGCCCTGGCGATCCTTCCGCCTCAGCCTTCCGAGTAGTTGGAACTACAGGCACGCGCTACCACGCCCGGCTAATTTTTCTTTTTCATTTTTATTACAACCTTTACACACTAAATATTTTAAATGTGGGCCAATATAATTTATTCATTTACTAGGAGATTATTTTTGTGTGAATCATATGGATTTTATTACGATTATTCAGTAATAGAAAAATCATTGGCACATTACTCTAATTCTTGGATATGTTTATCATGATTAAGGTATTTAAATATAAATTAAATTAATAGTTTATGCCCACATTGAACCAAATGTTTTAGAATTAGTGTTGTTTCTTGCTTAAGTACTTATTTGGTGACTTCTATCTTTTCTTAGATATAACTTTTAAAATACCAGCTGATTACTAAAGCTGGAAAATGAATTAATTGTGATTGTGGGTATTATTGTCCGAAAACAATATTAATCCCTCCTTGTTTACTTTATTCCTAACATGACCTATGAACACAAAGAACAACAGAAGAATGTTATTTTCTATTAGAATAGAGGCATTAAGCTCATTTAGCAAAAAGCGTTAATACAAATATAAAACTCTTGTATAAAAGTACTGAGTTTGAGCTGGGCTCGGTGGCTCAGCCTGTAATCCCGCGCCTTTGGGAAGCTGAGGTGAGTGGATTGCCTGAGCCGGCAGTTCGAGACCCGCCCGGGCAGGCGAGACCTCATCTCTACAATAAATAAAAAAAAAAATTAGCCAGGCATGGTAGCGTGCGCCTGTAGTTCCAGCTACTTGGAAGGCTGAGGCGGAAGGATCGCCGGAACCCAGCAGGCCGAGGCTGCGGTGGCCAGGAGCGGTCCAGTCTGGGTGACAGAGTGAGACTCCAACTCAAAAAAAAAAAAAAAAGTATTGAGTTGGAGTGTTAATAAAAATATGTTGCTAGGCACAGCATCTCTCAGCATGATGCTCTGCTGAGGCACTTGGTATTATTCATTAGAGGCTGCTTTCTTAATTAGAACCCAGAAGACCTTTATTATTACCATTTTCTGAGATTATGGCACCATGAAAACCATCAATGGCAATTTCTAATTATTGTCACATCTATTAATTGCATTGGCTTGAATAGTCCCTGGACAGGTTTCATTTCTGCTGAAGAATTAGTTAGCCTGCAATTAACAAAGGACACATGATTTCTGAGAGTTTTCCCTAGGCACTAAGGGTTTACATGTATGCAGGTACAACGTGATACATCTATTTATTGGGGAGGTATATTTAGTTCTTTTTGTCATCAAGTCACAAGTGTTAGATGAGTACCTCATGTTTGTATGGGCTTTATTGTGATAGGATACTCATCATTTAGAAATTTGGTGAAATTCAAACAAATTATTTATTAAATCCTGACATTAGATGCACAGTTGATGAAGATTTAAAACAATATCACCAATCACATGAAAGAATAGATCTCATTTTTTAATTTAAATAACATAAAATTTGACTAAAGATAAGAGTGCTAACAAATGGTAAAAGTGCCAACCTACCTAGTACCTGACACTACTAAGACAACTCTCTACTTACTTGAGACTCCTGGGTCCTTACCCAAATCAAACTTGTGACTGAATTAGTTGTTTATATAGGAATTCTTGAATAATAACAAATATGTTATGGTTTTTTTTCTTTATTCTATCACCTCAGATTTTCCTATGGATTCTAGTAATGGAAACTGTAGAGGAGCAAGCAGTGGTGAGTATATCACTGTCTTTCTGATTTTCATTTGTGGTCAGATTAGTCTCTGATGTAACCTAGATACTCAAGTCTTATTTAGGGAATTCTGTGTCCTATACTTTAAAAGTGAACCTAAAAAAGTATTTCCTTATTTATATTAATTTTAACAATATTCAATATAGTAAAATAGACCCTTTCTTTTGGTAGTCTGGTGTACATGAATTTTAATTCATGTGTAGATTCATGTAACCAACACTACTATCAGCATACAGAACAATCTCATCACTCCCCAGAACTCTCTCATGTTGTATCCCTTTATAATTACAAGTTTTACCCACCCTTATCTACTGACAATCACTGATCTTTTTTTCATACTATAGTTTTATCTTTTTGAGATTGTTCATATAAATGGAATGATAGAATATGTAACCTCTTCAGATTGACTTTTTTTCACTTAGCACAATGCCTTTGAGATTTATCCAATTGTTGCACATTGGATAATGTATTCCTTTTTATTACTGGATGTTTCATTATTTGGACATATTACTATTTGTCTATCTGTTCACTTCTTGAAGGATATTTGGGTTGTTTCCAGTTTGATGCATTCATGAAGAGTTCTGCTACATTAAAGTGCAGGTTTTTGTGTGAACATAAATTTTCATCTCTCTAGAGTAAACATTTAGGAATACAATTGCTGGGTTGTATGATGAGTATATGTTTAACTATCTGAAAAACTGCCAAATTGCTTTCAAGATGGCTGTTCAATTTTGCACTAGCAACATATAAGTGTTCCAGTTGCTTTGTATTCTTGTTAGCAGTTGGTATTGTCAATATTTTTCTTTATTGTTAGCCATTTTGATAGGTGTATAGTAATAGGTCACAGTGGTTTTAATTTGCATTTCCCTTATGGTTAATGACATTGAATATCTTTTCATGGGTTTATTTTCCATCTGCATATGTTGTTTTTGGTGAAGTGTCTGTTCAGTTCTTTGCCCGTTGTAAATTAGGTTGTCTTCTTACTAATGAGTTTTGAGAGCTCTTTATATATTCTTTTTTTTTTGAGTTGGAGTCTCACTCTGTCACCCAGACTGGAGTGCAGTGGCTGCTCCCGGCCACTGCAGCCTCGACCTGCTGGGCTCCAGTGATCCTTTCGCCTCAGCCTTCCGAGTAGCCGGAATTACAGGCATGTGCTACCACGCCCGGCTGATTTTTTTGATTTATTGTAGAGATGAGGTCTCGCTGCCCAGGCGGGTCTCGAACCCGCGGGCTCAGGCAATCCACTCACTTCAGCCTCCCAAAGGCACGGGATTACAGGCTGAGCCACCGAGCCCGGCTTTCTTTATATATTCTGAAATGAAGAACCGTCTCTTCGTTTCAATCATTCTCTCTGTTTATGTATTTGTTTTATTTTTTCAATGTTATTGAGTTGTTTCTTCTGCTTGCTTTAGGGTATTTTTCTCCTTTCTTTTTTATTCTCTTAGGTTAGAAGCTTATATTGTCTGTGAGACCTTTCTCTTTTTTAACATAATTTAATGTTATAAATACCCAATTAAGAATGACTTTAGTTGCAGCCCATAAATTTTGATAGTTGTTTTCCCATTTTTTTCCTCCAGTTCAAAATATTTGATAATTTTCCTTGAGATTTTCTTTGACTCATGCATTATTTAGGATTGTGCTGTTTAATTTGCTGCTATTTGGGTATTTTCCTGTTATCTTGATGTTATTAATGTTTCAAATTTTATTTTATTTTATTTTATTTATTTTGAGTTGGAGTCTCACTCTGTCGCCCAGACTGGAGTGCAGTGGCCGCTCCCGGCCACCGCAGCCTCGACCTGCTGGGCTCCGGCGATCCTTCTGCCTCAGCCTTCCAAGTAACTGGAACTACAGGCGTATGCTACCACACCTGGCTAACTTTTTGATTTATTGTAGAGATGAGGTCTCGCCAAGTTGCCCAGGGGGCTCAGGCAATCCACTCACCTCAGCCTTCCAAAGCGCGGGATTACAGGCTGAGCCTCCGAGCCCAACTTCAGTTTTCTTTTGTGGGATGTGTCTTTTTCTATCTAATTGTAACATATCTATATCATTGTGTTTTAAATATATTTCTTGTAGACTTCATATAGTTGAGTCCTTTTTTAAATTCATACTGCCAATCTTTGTATTTTGATTGGTACATTTGCATTTAATGTAATTATTGATATATTTGTATTTAGATTTACCATTTTATTTGTTTTCTGTTTGTTTTCTCTGGTTTTTATTCCTATTTCTTTCTTTTGGATTCAGAGTCTCTCTCTCTCTGCCACATATGTGAGATATATGAGGAGGACCCCCCCCCAAATCTTAGGATCTATGTATTAAAAATGTTGATTTATTCTTACACGTTTAAACTTCAGTCACCTTTAAAGTACTCTCTGCTTGATGCAATACACCTATCGAGACTCTTTTTCCACTACTCAAAATTGTTTTTGAACTCGCCAATTTTGGTCTCTTTTAGTGTTTCTGCTGTTTTTTTGTTTCACCTCTTCCACATCAGCAAAGTGTTTCCATTTGAGCACTTTTTTCATCTGGGGAAACAAAAATGAAGACGTTCAGGGTGAGATCGGGTGAATGGGGAGGATGGGGCATGGGGGTCATGATGTTTTGGTCAAAAACTGCTGAACATTCAGTGAAGTGTGAGCAGGTGTGCTTATAAGTCATCCATCGTGAAATGGGCGAACATGTTGAAAGAATCTCCAAAAAGAAAATTCACTGAAGTGGAATGCAGCCTCTAATGCTAGCTGGTATTCTGATGCTGATGGGTTCTTAGAACACTCAACTAGTGGGGGAAGCCTGTACTACAAGGGGCCCACCCTCCAAAAAATAATTTGGGTTTCTGCTTGTATATGTCGTCATGACATAATGTTATATTTTTTATTTCAGCCATTAAATATGTTTTAAACAACTCAAGAGGAGAACCGTATTCTACTATATTTATACAGATGTTTATAATTTCTATTGTTCTTCCTTCTTTCCCAATGTTCAGACTTCCTTCTGATATTATTTCTCATCTGTCTGAACAATTTTCCTTAGCATTTTTTTGGAGCAGTTCTGGTGGTAACAAATTCTCTGTTTTCCTTCACCTGAAAATGCCTTATTGTCACCTTCAGTCCTAAAGGATATTTCCACTGGATATACAGTTCTGGGTTGGCAGTTCATTTTGTATGTTAAAAATATTTTGCTTATTTCTGGATTCAGTATTTCTCATGCGAAATTGACAGGTTTTCAAATCATTATTCCTCTGAAAGTAATCTAACAGTTTTCTTAAGTTACTTTCAAAGTTTTTGTCTTTGTTTTTAGTTTCACCAGTTTGATTATGACATGTCTGGACATTGATTTCTTTGAGTTTACCCTGTTTAGGCTTAACTGTTCTTCTTGAATGTATTAATTTATACCTTTCGAGAAGTGCTTAGGAATTATTTCTTCAAATACTTACTTTTCACACCGTAGTTTCTTCTATGATGACATGAATGTTAGATCTTTTAATATTGTCCCATAGGTTTCAGAGGCTCTGTTCAGTTTTTCACTCTAATCTTTTTTTCCTCTTGTTTAAATTAGATAATTTCCATTGATCGCTCTTCAAGTTCATTAACTCTTTCCTTGTTCATGTCCATTCTAACATTTGAGCACATCCAAATAGTTTTTGTTACTGTATTTTTCAAAGTTAAAATTTTCATTTGATTCTTCATTATATTTTGTATTTCTTTGTTAAGATTTTCTATCTTTCATTTTATTTCAAGAGTATTCACCATTACTTTCGGGGGTATTTTTATAATAGCCACCTTAAAGTCATTGTTGTATAATTTCAACATCTGTGTCATCTGATTGTCTTTTCTCATACAAGTTGAGATTTTCCTAATTCTTCATGTGCAATGAAGTAATTTTGGCTTAAATCCTGGATATTTTGAGTATCATGTAATTAAGTCCTATAGAAAATGCTGATTTTTAATTTTTACTCTTAGCAGGAATCCACCTAGTTACATTTAGGCTGCAAATTTTGACTAGTCTGTGAATTGTGATTTCAATATCAGTTCTATTTCTAAAGCCCGTGAAGTATCTCCTGTATCCCATGTGACCAGCATGAAATCAGAACCATAATTTTCCCCACAGTTCAGTTTTCAAAATCTATGGTAAATTGTTTCATATCAGATTTACACATGCCCAGGGTGAGTCCTGCAGTTCATAAACAACTCTACAAAATTTTTTTCCCCAAGCTCCTTCTTCTCTCTCTGTGATCTCCCTGGCTCTATTCAGTTCCTTGGAGCTCTCTTTTTTGGTCCTTTGGCCAGAAAACTGAGGCTTTATTTACTACATCCCATGATTCACTTTTTGTGACTACTCCTGCATCTGGGACCAAGTAACGGGAAGACAGGTAGAGATAAAGCAATAAGGATTTTCCCCAATCTCTTGGAACAAGAAGTCCTCCAATCAGAGAGGAAGGTTCTCCTTCATCAGTGTTTTAGGCTCCTGAGGGCCTTTCTTGCAGTAGCTGTTGCTGTTACCACTGCCCCAGGTTGACTTGAGAGATGAAGTATAAGAGATTGAAGTGTTAGAGACACTTTCCACTTCTTAAGCTAGTACCAGAAAGCTTCTCCTGGATTACTCTTTGCACAGTACCCACTTCCAGACAGGCAGTGTTGACACCAAACTGGCAGATACCAGAGGGGGAAATATGATGAGCCCACTATCACCTTGGTGGTACTGGTTTTCTTCCCTAGTCTTCCTGCTGTGACTGTATTTACTTTTCAGAGTTCTTAGGTAGCTGCTTCATATACTCTTTTCAGTTTTATAACTGTGTTCAGTCGGAGAAACAAGATGGAGTCTATTTATTCCATCTTGCCATAAAGTAAACCGCTAAACTATGACATGCATGCAGAAAAAGTGCACAAATCTTAAACACTCATTTTCACAAAGTAAACATTCTTTAAACCACTAAACAGACCAAGATATATAACATCACCAGCACTCCAGAAGCTTCCAAATCA